ACCCCCGCCCCCCCCCTGCCAAGCCTCTTGGGGCGGGCTGTGGTAGCAGCGCACCCCCCTTTTCCAAACCGCCAGGCGGGCACAGCTCCTGGGTCGGCCGCGGGGGAAGGACCGGGCGGAGAGGCCGCCTCGCCCCGCCCCGCCGGGAGGAGCGGCCCTGCCCGCACGGCTTAAGCGTCGCGGCCGGAGCTACCCCCCCCGGCTGGGCCGGCCATGGAGGTGGTGCGGGACTGCGTGGGCTCGCGGGTGCGGTGAGTGCGGGGACAACCCTCTCTACTCACCTCCCGGGCGGCCGCTGACGCCAGCGGCTCCTGGGGAATGAAGAGAAGGCTCCGGGAAGTCCTTCCAGTATCTGAAGGAGGCCTAAAAGAAAGCTGGCAAGGAACTGTTTACAAGGGCGGGTAGTGATAGGGTGAGGGGCAATGGATTTAAACTGGAAGGGGTTAGATTTAGATTAGACTTTTTGCAGGCACTTTTCACTATGAGGATGGTGAGACACTGGCACAGGTTGCCCAGGGAAGTTGCGAATGCCCCCTCCTTGAAAGTGTTCAAGACCAGGTTGGATGGGGCTTTGAGCAACCTGGTCTGGTGGGAGGTGTTCCTGCCCATGGCAGGGGGTTCTACTGGATGATCTTTAAGGTCCTTTCCAACCCAAACCAGTCTGGGATTTTATGACATTGTCCTCATCTGGGCACCAGAAGAGCGGAGTCTGAGTTATCTGTCTGCTCCAGCTCTTTGGGAGCAAAGGGCACTCTCCAAGCACGGTGTGAGGGCCAGTCACAGTGGGTCGGCGGGGAAGGGGGAGATTAAATCTGATGGACACTGGGTAGGAGAAGCAGGCAGGCATACTCTTACAGCCTTCTGAGCCTCAGATGAAGCTCTCCTGAGGGGAGTACCAGTAGGAGTTTTGAAGTTTTCACTCCTTTCTGAGGTGCAATGGCTGGGATGCCTTCACCCAGTAGTCAGTGTCTTGTGTGTAAAGAGCGTGTGTGTCAGGCGTGGAGCCTCAGGGTAGTGTTAGGAGCCACTTGCGGTCTATGACAATGCGACTGTGACTCCTGGCCTCTGCTGGCCTTTCAGATGTGCTAACTGCATCCATAAAGGTACAGTACATTACGCCACTCAAAAATGGACCCAATTCTAGCTGAGGTTCTGGTATCTCCACAGTTCATGTTTTAGCAGGGAAACCAAATCTGTAATCTGGGCAAAACCAAAGTCGTCTGACTAATTTCTGACTGGTTTTTTGGGGGGTGTTTGTTTTCCATAGCTGTCGCTGCTGTTGTCATTTTTCTGTGAACTCTAACCTAAAAATCAAACTGCCATATTCTAAAGCCACTTGTGTTGTGCAACATTGATTTTTCTGAGTGAGGCTGAGGATCATTGCACCACATTCTTAGACAAACATACGAGGCATGTTGCAAAGAAAGATAGGGTGAAATATGTGTGCAGGGCTCAAGCCAGGCTTTTAATGCCCAGTTTATTCTCCAGAATAATTAATTAATTCTGTCCAACCAGCCTTGACGCTACATTGAATGCTTGGGGTGGTGTCTGTGCGTCCCTCTTTAACAGGTTGTAGTTACACAAAACAAACTGGACAAGATGCTAGAGTTTTAAGATATTTGCTCTTTCAATTAAAAAATGCTTTTTTGAGTTCTTATGTTTTCCACTGACATAGGATCCTGCTCTCTTTTAAGGAAGAGCTAGGACTAATCTTTTCATCTTTGAATAATAAAAACAGTAGTGGAGTTGTCTGTATCTGACATGTCACACAACTTTCTGATAAAGCTGACTGTACCTTAGTAAGTTCCTTTCCTCTTCACTGCTTGTTTCCTGACTTAGCTTGATCAGCTTTTCATAGGAAATTATTTTTGATAGCTCCAATCTAGTAGAGGAATTCCCTGCCTCAGGAATTGGTTTGTCTGGTTTCTGAGGACAGCTACAGCAAAAATGGTTCTTTCTAGGAGCCCTGTGTGTAGGCTGGCCTGTTTGTGTCTGTGGCCTTTTGTGTAGAGGGGAAACAAAGCAAAAACAAGCTTTCAGCAACAGGCCCAGAAATGAAAGAGTTTGCACTCTGTTTATCTGGCTTTTTAAAATCACACTGGATTTTGTTTCCTACTACTTCTCATTAACTAAAACCTCAGCCTGTACTGGAGCCCCTAACTCATTGCTTCATAAGCAGATGTAGTTTAAAGATGGTATTGCCTGCTTTTATTGAAATGTAGGTGAAACAGTATCAGTGTAAAATAACTCCCTAAGAGTTAGATTCCTGTTAAGTGACTGTCTGGCGAAGCTAGTGAAAGTCTTGATTTATTAATCTTGTTTTTGTTTGTTTGTTTTCCCCCTCTGACTTTACATCTGATAGAACTAGGTAGCAGTGTGAGGTGACTGATCTTAAGCCCTGAAGAAACTTCTGCTCAGAGCTGCAAAATATTACTTGTATAGTTGGCTCTGCTAATGCCTGAGGTGAACCTTGTTGCCTCAAGTCCTGCCCATGAGTTGTACCTCTAACACACTTTCTCCTGTATCAGGATGTATGTTTTGGCTTTTTTCCTTATGCTTTGACTTTTGTGAATGGCAGCTTGGTTTAAGTAATGGGAAAGAAAACTGCTCTGCAGGACTGGTATTTTCTGTTCTTGCAAAAAAAAAAATTATCTTGGCAGTACTGTCATAAACATGACTCAAGTAACTATTGTATGTGTTAGTTTTCAAATATGTGAGAAGGAAACTGATGTAACTAGCTCTGAAATTCTCTTGAATCCCGAACATGCACTTTCTAACATCTGGGTGCCCTGCAAAGTGGAGTCACCAGCCCTGAGGTAGATGAGTAGGCTTTATAACTGAGAAGTCTTGGGTGATTCAGAATGGGAGCTCTCCACAGACCAGTGGGGTGACTGGGGGACTATTGACTTAGTCAGCAGAGGGATTAACAAGCACACCCTGTCCTAGCACAGTTCCCTTCTGTGGAGCTTCAATGCCTTTGTCAGTGCTACTCTTGTCACCTTGTCCTCCTTCCTTGTCTTGACTTTTCTCCAAAAGGAAAGTGTTTATTAGCTTTTTGATTTGAAACAGTGCCTGAAAACCACACTGACTGCTTATCCTCACCAGTTTTGTTACAGGAAAGAGGGAGATTTCCACCAGCCATGTATGTACATGCAAACTGTTGAAAGCCAGGGTCCTAGTATTTAGACAGCGCTACCAAGAGGGTATTAGCCTGAGCTAGAATAAAACTGTTAAACATTGCCTTCCTTTAAGAAAAATAAAAGCTCCATTAATGCTGAGGAGTTTTTGAGGAAAGTGAACTTCGGTGTACAGAGGAAAGCCCCAAAGCCCTTAAAGGAGGAATGAGAACTATAAATAAATTAGTTGCTGAAACTCTGTCTGGCCACTCACAAAAATTACTTTCTATGCATCCCTAAAATATGCTTAATGACCAGATAGGAGGTTTGGAAAAGATAGTTATTATCACTGGTCAATGTGGAGATGCACAAAAGGTGTGACTGGGACATTATTAGTTGTGTAAGTTTTTATCATTTCGTCATTGTTCTAGGAGTTCCTGTGTTAGCTTTTTGGCTGCAGAAAGACTGCAGTTCACTCTCTCCCCCTCTGGGAAAGTGCCTGAGAATAAATTTTCCTATATAAAGCTGACCTTTTACACATATTTGGGAGAACAAAATGGGGATGCATCCTTTTTCCACCCCTGTATTATTCAGTATTAAGGAGCAAAAGGTACACATAGGTAAAGTCCAGGAATGTGGGAGACAAAATATTGTCTCCCTTTTAAAAGACTTATTAGAGATCAGTCCTTTCCAGGTGTCATGCAGAGGGCAATTTTTTGTAAGCTGGCTGTTGAATTAACCACTGTAATTTGGCAGCAAAAAGCTGTTACTGGATGTAGATGGGAGCAGGTCTGTCCCTTGGTGTGGGAGTAGGCAGTTACCAGTGTTATGTGCTTGGTTTACCTAAGGGAACCTAAACAGTCGCCATTAAAACATGCAATTGCCCAGGAAAATTTAAAACCTCTTCCTAAAAGTGTTGGAATTCTTTCAGCCTTGTAGTTTGATCTTAATTGTCATTTCATTTTCCTTCTCTTGATATATCAGGGCACAACAAGTCTTATTTTGTGATTTTTTTTTTAATTTTTTTTTTCCCAAAACTATATGAAGTTTTATAGGCTGCAGATATTATTCATAAGATAAATGCCTGGGCAGTTTGGAAGTCAAGTGTAACTATATCAAAAATCTCCACTTGTGTTCTGATCCTAGGTGTTTTGAAGAAGGATAATATGTTCAGTCTTCTTAAAGCAAACTCGTATCAGAAATAATTAGTTGAAAGTAGCCTTATGTGTTACTTCGTGGAGTGTTTATCTGCCAGGTAAAGAGAATGATCTAAGTGGCTGAATTCGGGAAGAGCTTCTGCCTTTCTAATTCAGTGTTAAAATCTGTCAGCTTCACTGTAGTTGTGACCTTGACATCAGCTGAGCTAGAGGTGGCCCACATCTGCTTGAAATGCTTTTAATTTTAGAAGTGTTTTCAAATGTCACTGGCAAGAGAAAGTTCAGAGACAACATGTCTGTAAACATGTTTAGTTTTGAAAGCAAGCTCCACGAGTCTAATGTGACCTGTGAATTCCTCATAAAATGTGCCTATGTCGCTGAACTCCAGTCCTCCTTCCTCTCACAGTATTCAACATGACTATTTTTATAACTATGCTGATTTTTTGTTTGTCTTAGATCTTTGGTATCCGTGGGAGCATCTGTGGGAGCAGTTACAAAACAGACCATGTTCCCTCCTCTCATGCCTGCAGGGCGACCTTTCCGTGTGTCCAATGCCTCCCGAAGCAGCAGGAAAGGAATTGTTGCAAGCACTCTGCAAGAGCTCATCAGCAAGGTATAGCAAATGTTTCACTTTGAAACTTACAGTGAAGTACAGTATCCCAGAAAAGCAACTCACAGACTCTTGTTCTTCTAAAAATCAGTACTGGGGAAGTTCAGGAGAATGTCAGATAAGCAAGCCTTAATATTAAATGATGGGTCTTCTTTAGAATGCTAAAATCTACTGGTTTTTTTGCAGACTTTAGATGCCTTCCTTATATCTGCTGGAATAGTGACTCTGGTTTTGGAGGAAGATGGCACAGTTGTGGACACAGAAGAGTTCTTCAGGTCCCTGGATGATAACACACACTTCATGGTTCTAGAAAAAGGACAGAAATGGACACAAGTAAGTTTTGGCTGCCTCTCTCTCACTTGAATAGAAGTGAGCCAATGTCTGTGGCTGCTGAAATTGTTGGAAAGCAGAGAGAAGAGGGAGAAAACTTCCCCTTACCTTAAAGAAGGCAAGGTATCAACTCCTTGTTAAGCCTTCCTGGCTGACAAATAAATTATTTTTTTTTCTGTCCCTTACTTGGACATAAAACTGTTGGCAAAGATCTGCCAAGAACTGAAATGAAACATTACAGGTGAAAAGAATTATAGGAGAAATCACTTGCTTTTGGAGAGCCTCAGAAATAACTTTGTTCTTTATCCTTTTTATAACTTGAAGAAAATTAGGACTTTGACTGCATGAAGCTAAAAATACAATGTCTTTAGTTTTTAGAGGGGAAAAAAATATCTAAATTAAGCGAAGTAAAACAAGTTTTGCTTTGCAAATGCAGTAATGGTTTAGGGAAAGCTAGAAATACGCCTGTGTTTAATGTTGCAAACAGCTACCATCAAAACCTAATGATAGTCTACATGCTTCAAGGTATTTGAAGAACTATTAAGCCTGGCTAGCTTTAGCCTTCTGATCATATCAACTCAGTGTCCAATTTGTAGTTTTGTGGGGGAATAATCATCTGTATGTTAATAAGATAGAGTCAAACTCCTAATTGTCTTTCCCTGAAATGGTTGTTGCTAGAAAGTTAGAAGCCAACATCAAAGCTGGCATCAAAATCTCTATCAGGCACAGAGCTAGCTGAGGAGGCCTGCCATTTTTCCATTTGCACACAGATGGCTTAATTGCGTGGCCCCATTTTTCAGTCCCCTGCTGCAGCGTGGGCAGCATGTACATTCTTCCCCAGGGTACCTCACTGGCTTATCAACCTGCTGCATCTGGGCCATGAACTCCAAGAGCGGAAAAGAAATTGCAGCCAGGGAATGACTCCACCTTGCTCGTTCCCTCTGTGTCCTGTCTGGCACAGCAGCAGATCAGGTTTGAATGCTGTGCTGAGTGACAGCAGAAGGACTGCCACAGCTTCACAGGGCAACTGGAGTTCAGAAAAAGCTCTGTCGTGCGTTTTCCAAGTATTCTGGGTTGCTAGTGGGGGGGAGGAGGGTACGCTACCAAGCATACCAACTTACTTGTACATGTCCGAAATTTTTGTTGGTAGGAGTCCCCGTTGCCAGAGCTTGGAGGCTATAGAAGTAAAACAGACATAAAATTGCTGGCTAACGATATACTACAGTGTTTACCCTGGCCTGACTTACCAGGGGAATGTGCTGAGCAGACTATCAGTCTGTATCCGCTAGATGTCTCTGTAAATACGGGTCTTCTCTACTATTTTCTCCTTGAAACAAGCGATCCTGAAAGCACCACTGGCAGCCCTGAAGCAGGCAAGGGCCACTTTCAATAAAGGAGACTGGATTTACGGTGGAAGATGATTTTCCATGTTCCTCATCCTTTGCTTTTTCTCTTAAAAACTCAGTATTAAACCCTAGGCTTAATCAGTAGTCGTTCCCTCCCTATGTTACTTTTTTTAGCAGAAATAAAGAGAGGTGTTACGCACCAGGATTTGAAATGAGGACCTGGCTTTTCACAAATGTAATCTTTGCAACTATCTCTAAGAGTGCCCATCAGTATTGTGTCAATCCTGGTAATTTGGTTTCAGTGTGGACTAACTGTGCTGCCTCAGCTAGCAGCGGGAACATACCAGGGTAATTAAATGGCAGGAACACTGTCCAGTGGCATTACCTGTGGCTTCAGTATACCCTGAAGAAGCTGCATTACAAGAAAGAAATATTCAGGAGGTGCTATGTCAGTCTAGAACTTCTACATTGGCTTGGAATAGCTTCAGAAGCCTGGTCAGGACTTGAACAAAATTATGTAAGCTACAGACTTGTTTTTTTCTGTGTTAATGCTTTTAATTCTAGCTTAGAATTGATCGAGAACTAGCCCAAAGACTGGAATAAGCAAGGTACATCTGAAGACCTGCACTGTTAATGATTGTCTTGTAGTTTCCTGGCTCATGGTACAAACTGTCTGTCTCCCTCTTTTTAAATTAGACAAGAAATGGAGTTGCCACTGTGAGACCAAAGAAGAAAATGGGAGTAGCTAACATCACATTTGATCTGTACAAGCTAAACCCTAAAGATTTTATTGGCTGCTTAAATATCAAGGCGACCTTCTATGAGATCTACTCTATCTCATATAACATCAAATGTATGGGAGCAAAAAGTGTATTGCGGTAAGTATGTTTCCACTACTGATTAGATGGATGCATTAATGTAAAATCTGTGTTTGCTTATTGCTTCTGTGAAGCAAATGTGTTTACAAACTTAGTATTTTTATTAATTCTTACATACCGGCCTATATGCTGACTCTTCCTTTGTAAGTTGGACAGCTGACTTGTAAAAACTTACTCTAGCTTTTTATGGTGGGATCTTAAATTTCCCCCAAGGCAAAATCTTATCAGCTTTTGTTTACTTTGAAGTGTATAGGTACAGCCTTTTTGTTTTCCTGAGAGAATTTTGACTTTTGACTTGTTTGAAGAATGCATCAGATTCTTTGAAGGGGGACACTCAAGGGGGTGAAATGAGAGGTATTTGAGATCTAATGTCAAAGGTCTTAAAGCTTACTCAGGCTTTGAAATACCTGGCTGCCAAATTTGCCACCTGAGCTTACATGGTGGCGAAGGAAAATGGAACAGATATGACACTCTCTACTGTCCTAATGTGAATTTTTCATCTGTAGTAAGACTGTGTGATGTCACTGTGTTTAAGGCACCTGGTCTCCAAGCAAACTAATGGAGCATAACAAGGACTGTGGTCTCCTGCAGGGACCAATCTGTAGTGGTTCTGAGTTCGGTAGAACCGGCTGTCGGGAAATGCTGTCTTATGCAGGGGCAAAATAATACGTGTCCTGTCCACTGCTTTCAACAGTGTCTGTGCTGTGTCAAAAACAGCTGTGTCCCGCCCTGGCTGAAGAGAACTTCTTCTGAGTTCAGATTCTTTCACAGAGGTGCCATACTTGGACAGCTGTTAAGCTGCAGCCCTGAATTTCTCTAACTGACCTTTCAAATTCTCGTTAAGACACAACAGTGTAGTGTTGCTGCCTTTTATTACTTGAGGACCAGGTCTAATCTGTGCAGAACAAACAAATGTATATGCCAGTAAGTGAGGTTTTCACTTCCTTTGAGCAACATGCAGTTTGAAATCTTCAAATAGTCCCTCCTCTCATGATGTAGGTATTAAGCATTGTAATGCTAATTTTGTTCCCTTTCTGCCTGACTGACCTCTCCCACTCTACTTCGGTGGTCCCTTGCTTAGTCTTTCAGGCTGCAGCTGGTGTGACTGTAGGTGAGACTCATCTCTCTGGTTGCACTGCAGTGATTATCCAGCTATACGCTATGCTCACCTCTAGCACTGGCTTCATTAGGGTTTCTTCAAAGCAAAGGTTCACCCTTGAACAGCTGAACTCCTCCAGTTCCTGTTTGTCAAGTCTCTTGAGCCAGATCAAACTCTGATTTCTGGCTGTCTGCTATGGAGATAAGTGTCGGCACTGAAACTTGCAGTGCTAAGGAGTTTGTGACAGTTCTGCCTCTCTGCCAACACAGGCAGCTGGTGAGGAAAAAAGGTACTGGTGAACAGCTGAAGTAGCTGTGGAGTTCTTCTGGAAGCACAGTTATGTTAGAGTTGAGCTGCAAGGGAAGTGCCAGTGTCAGGGTGGGAAAATAGCCTGCTAGCAAAGAGCAAGGGTGACAGGAGAGAGAACCTTGGGTACTCCTGAACACAACAGTGAGATGGCCTGTCCCAATTTGCTGTTGAGACTGGAGACAGATGATGTTAGGTTCTTGGTGTAGTCTCTCTGCTAATGAGTTCCAGCCTTCTAACTCTGATGCTTTCTCTCCTGAGCCCACCTGTGAAGTGTGAAGGGAAAAGACTTTAAAATGCTGCAGTTGTTCATCGGTGGGAGGGGCTCACAGCCTGCCAGGTCTGATCAGTGCATTTCCCCTAACTGCTTTTCCCTGTAGTGTCCAACTGGAGGATCAAATGTCCAGTTCAACAAATAACTTCCTCTGTGGCTTAAGTGACAACTGCTCTCGTGTGCAAGTGACACACTGCAGCTGCTCAAAAGCTTGGTACCAGGTGCAGCTTTCTTTACAACTGTAAAGCTCCTTGGCCTTGTCGTGTGGTGAAGGGAAGGACACACTGAAATGGCATATGTGTGGGAAGCACAAATAAGGGTATGGTGGTTAGGTTTTTTAAAAGGCTTTCCAGCCTCTAAGTGCAGGGCATCCTACTCTTCTGAAGCATTAGTTTTTCACTGCAAACCTTCTCTCATCGGGAGGGGGGGAATGAATCTGTAGGAAGAAGACACTGTCTTCCCTGCTAGAGCACAAAGGAGAAGTGAATAGCAGCAGAGGGATCACAGCTGTGTTTTCTCAAACAAGAATCCTCCTTTTTTGCAGAAGAGGAAGGCAGGTCTAGTTTCTGCATCTTGAGAAACTGATCCCTTTCCAGTTTTGGAATGGTTCCAGTTCCTGCATGCCACTTCCCCAGTGTCTCAGATTCATACCTGTGAAAGTCTGCTTAATGTCTGGGGGATGAGGCTTGAACATAGCTCTCAGCACTGATGTCCCAATTGTTTCTTGGAGAATGGCAGGAAGATGCAGGTATAACTAAGCTGAATAAATGCCCACTCAAATATGATGATCATCTCTATTCTCCTGTGATCCTGTGGTGAACCACAATCCATATTGTAGACCTCTGATGCTTGCCTGATCTTAGTTTATGAATCTGTACTGTCACACAGTATTATATATTTGAATGCTGATATGTATTAAAACTTCAAAAAAATAGAATAGTTGTGAACTGAGAACTCTTAAGGCTTGCAGCTTGGGCAGCATTAATTCCCCTGGCTTCACTTGTTTTGCTGTTGGGCATCCACTGTGATGTGATTGCACAGCTTCAGATCTAATCAAGTTTGATCTGTAGGTTGAAGATACATGCAGTGTTGTATTAGTGAATAGCATAAAGGTGAGATACG